AAAATATCAAAATTATTACTTCATTTTTTGACCACCTTATGATGCTGATAATTCATGCTTCCTAAGTCTGATTTTGTAATGTTGTTGGTCCTAAGTAGTTCTTTTTATTGCATGTGGTTTAGTCAGCAGTCATGATAGTTTATTTTAGCGTAAAGTGTTTTTATTTTTTTTTTTTTTTTTTTTTTTTGCCGATAACTTAATTTCGTTTTCTAAGTTATGATTAAGAATTATCTTAGGTCAATTATAAAAAGAAAAGCAGTTAAAAATATATTCAATATCTCCTTTAATTTTAGTAATTTAAGATGTATGAAATTGGAAAGTAAAATTTTCAATTTACTAATAATTTAAACATGAATTAATTACAGGATCAATTTCTACATAGTCATTGTCCTTTTATTGAAATTGAAAAGTACATGTAAAGGCATACATATCGCCTTAGACATTATATTTATTTGATTTATTTCTAACACTTAGAAGGTAAAAGCCAACCCATCGCACCCTTTACATGTAGACCTTCAAGATTCAACAAAAGAAATAAAGTGAGCATTACTTCCATCATAATGATGTACTCCAACTTTAGAAAGCATGGCATAGTACTCGATCTCGGATTTTCTCGGTGGAGGGCAATTGTTTGAAATAATTATAAGCTCGCCTACCAAAAATTAATCCCAAATATTAAAGTTTACTAATATTATTTTAGAACAATAATTTTTATTTTTATTCTTTCAATCAATAAAATAATATCATTTGACATCTTTATTTAAACATAAAATAATAATATCTATATAACTTTTTTTTTGTCTAGGTCTAGATTGACTCAAATTAAAATTAAAAAGATAAAAGAAATTAATAAAAATTAAAATTTGATTTCATTTATATAAATTGTTCATTCTCATTTGAGAAATATTATATATCTAATAGATTCACGTTAAAAGATTTTTTTTCTTTTGCGTACATCCATATTAAAAAAGTTTAATTGAGATACTAAATGGATAAAATATTAATTTTTACTCAAAATAATGAATCGTACAATTATAATGAATAAGTTATTTAAAACTAATAGATGCAATATTAATTTTAATCTTGTCTATATATTTAGACGTGTATATCACTTAATATACATGTAATGTATAAAATAAGTTCCTTAAATATCTATAGTAATAGTATTTCATGTATTTATTTTTCAATTAAATTATTAATATAAATTATTTTTAATAATTATTTAAATTTTAAATCCAATGAAATTAATTTCGTTAATAATTCATTTACTTGGTATTTTTAATAAAAATTTGAAAAAAAATAAAGTTCAGATATTTTTTTTAAGAAAATGGATTTATCCAACTTGATCTGTATCCCACCCTGCACCGACCCGTAGCGAAGCAGATGATAGAGCTGTAATATATAGTGGGGAGAGTAACGTAATATCCGATCCATACCTGACCTACCGTCATACCCATTATATATATATATATGAAAATCATGTGGTGATGTACTTGTTTTGTTTCTTAAGTCTTTTAAGCGGAATAAATTTACATCTAAACATAAATGTCATCTTGCACATGTCAAATGCTTTTGGACCAAATGAAAAAGTTTGGCCGTTAGTTATCTTAAATTAAAATAGATTAACTCATGGAAAAAGCATTTACGAAGGATAGTCACGAATCACGAAATAATAATAATTTTATAAATTTTTTTATTTATATTCGATAAATGATTTAATACATCAAGTTAATTAAAAAAAATTGAAAGCTTATCATTTTGTCTTTTTTCGCAATGTAGTAAAAATATAATGATTTGAATCAAAATATTATTTATTATATATCTAGTATATAAGTAGGCTTATATATCGGATATGGATAAATCTTTCCTTAGTTTCTTATTCAAAGAATACAAGATTACTGGTGATATAAAAAAAAGAAGAAAGTTAATAGTGGTTTAAAAGAAAAAAAAAAGAAAAAACATGTAATCTCCCTCTCTCTCCCCCATATATATATGTATTATATATATTGTTGGCTCAAGGGTCAATTTTTAATCTCGGATTTTGATGATTAATACAAAATGAATAAATTTAAAATTATGTTATTTGTGCTAATTTTATTTTTGCTAAAATTTTATTTTTATGCAGAATTTCATTTGGAGAGAAAATCATAACAAGGCAAATCTAACTTTGAGTGTGAAATCGAGACCTAGTAGCCTAGGTATTTAGGAAATACTTTTGTAGGATAGAGAGATATATGAGCACAAAAATCCTTTTATCTCTCAAAAATATTTTTCGGAAAATTAGTTTTCTTCAAAATAATCTATTTTCGAAAATATTCCTTCAAATCGAAAAGATGAATTTTCCTAAAACTAAAGAGATTTCTTCTCTAATGTTTTTGGTAATAAAATCATTCACCTTTTCGGAAATATATTTTTGCAAGATCTAGAGTATTTTAAAGTTATTTTCTTACCTTAAAAATGAAGGAAAATCTCTTTCGGTTTTGGTAAGTGCATCTTTCCGCCCGCAAATAATTTTTTCTCCAAAAATAAATGCTGTCGAAAAACTTTTCTAAAGGAAAGTGAAAATCGGATTTTATTCTCTTACCAAAAAGGATAAAACAATTTTTGGTAACAAAGATTTTCAGATCTTCTAAACAAGGAAAGAAGATATTCTGATCTCTTTTCAAAAAGTGACAGCTCCTTCGTTTTCTATATAAAGGAACGTTCACGCCTTAATCTTTTGGTGAAGTAAGAGTATTTGTTTTAAGAGCACTCTATCTCATTGAACGAATCCTTTTCTCTCAAAACTTACTCTACCCCCAATTTCTTTTCATCTCTACACTTAACGTTCTCAATATTTAAAGTGAAAAGAATTTTTACAATTTCTTTTGAAAAACAGTTCTGTGTTCTAATCGATCTTCTAATCTGATAAACTGTTTTTCCTGTGCTTATATGGGCGTTTCTTTCTGTCTATTTAGAATCTGTATTTAGAATCTGTTTCTATAGTAGACGGCTCTTTATTTTGTTTAAACTTTTGAGTTAATAGCTTTAGGTTAGAACTTTTGAGATAGAGGTTATCAAGCGACCCTTCTCCATGTGTGGGAATAGTAAATGTCTTGAATCGAGTTTCTCTGTACTCTTTCCAAAACAGATAAGGGGTTAGAGTTTTAACTTAGAAACTTTTGGAAAATTTAGTGGGACAAAAAGGGTATATCTAGGTTTTTTGAATCCTATTGCCTTGTACTGTTTGCCTTGTACTGTTGGTTTGTCTCATACCCTTGAAAAGAGATAACATAGTTTGAGGATCTCAAGATGCGTCTTTGGGGAGTGGATGTAGGTGAGTTAGTGCCGAACCACTATAACTCTCGGTGTTGATCTCTTTCTTTCTGAAGTTTGGTTGATACTGTCTCTTTTACACTCTCGTTTTATTTTAGAAACGCAGAAACTGTTAATGATTCAGATGTTCTAAAACGGCAATAAGTTTTATCTTTTCTGATCATTAGAACTCTGGAATTCTAATAAGTGAATATACCTTGTTCTAATTATTATTCTATTCACAGTATAATTCACTGATTGGGTTTCTAATTAATTTTCTAAACTTTATGAGGAATCTCTAATCACGATAGATTTCCATCATAAAGTTGTTCTAATACTTGTTTAAGGCTCTGTGAAGAAGTTCTAAATTCAATGACTGTCGTTCACACAGCTTTATATGATTTTCTAAAACTTTATGAGGAAGTTCTAATTTCAATAGCTTTCCTTCATAAAGAAGCTCTGATATTGTATAAGTCAGTGTGAAGCTGGTTCTAATCAATAGCTGCACTTTGCATCAGACTTTCTATATTTGACAAATTAGAAACATTGTGAGGAGATTCTAAATCCATATTCCCTACTCTCACAAAGTTCTGTTGTTTTAAAGTTCTGTGTGTTTTTCCGCTACACTTAGAATTCTAATTCTTGTTTAGAATTTCTAAAATTTATTTCAGTTTTTAGAAAACCCAATTCACCCCCCTCCCTCTTGGGTTGTGCCATACACATTCGGGACCCACATATATAACATATGAAAATCATGTTATTGATGTTCTTGTTTTGTTTTTTACATTTTTTTTTAGGTGAAATGCATAGATTTTGCATGTAAATTTAGAAAAAAAAGTTTTAATAGTATTTTTAACTTTTATTTTGACTCATTAAACATTTCAATTTATAAAATTACACATATTAAACACTTTAGCTTATAAGGATAATAACATTTTTGACATTTAAATTTAAAAAAATTTCTTTTCATGTCTGAATGGGAAAAAAAAAAACAAAAAGATGAATTGAATGTATGAAATTTTTTAGAAAAATCAATTAAATGTTGCATGCTAATGTGGTACATGGAAAAGCTCATTGGGCACTTGTGGAACCATAGGTTTGAGAGATTTGAACCTTTTTACAGCAAATTGACGCACTATCTAATGCACAGGATATTACTGGCCAAGAAACTAAATAGTTGCAAGCAAAAGTGAGCTTTGAAAATAGGTAGGAGGATGAAGTCACCCGATCAGTTGGACATCTGGTCCGATCCTATTCAAATGAAGTAGATAAAATCTGATCTATTCAGTGGTAGATTGATATTTATGCTAAAATAAAATTCGATGCGGATATGGATATGCCATAATTCGGTCTAAATCCAATCTGTAAAAAGTAATTTTGCCTTTTTGTTATATTTTTAAACTTTTGATTGTAATTCTACATGTGCAATTGCCTATTTCTTCTGTTCCTTCTTATTTTTCATTTATATTTTACATCATTATTTCCAACTTTTTCGCTTTCTTGATTTTTTTTTAATCTCTACATCAAATAAAAGAATGAGTTCAACATTGCAACCACTTCTGAAATGTTTACAATTGTTAAACTTTTTCTAATTGTCATAATTTCCAATTTTTTCATTATTGTTAAGAATTTTTGTGTTTTCAAGCATAAAAAATAATATGCATTTTTATTAAATTATTATTTTATTTTATTTTTTTTAAACATAATTAAAAAAAAGGATCATTTTATTTTATTTCATTTTATTTAAAAAAAAGGCATCAGTTGGAAAACTGACTTTTGCCCAGAATTTTACAATACTTGGAATCTCACGGGGACTCCGGATCCGTGATCAATTTGGACTGGGTGAGCCTTGTTTCGCCGAAAATGACCCTGACAGTGGCTTCGCCACCGCCGTTCATGGCGTTTTCGTCAGGCAAGCTTTGTCGCCGAAACTGATGGGAGAAAGAGACTCGCTGGGAAGAGAGGAGTCGATTGAAGCATGTCCCTCGCCTTGAAGCTGCCGGAAATGGTGTGGATCGCCGGAATTTGGTGAGCACGAGCTGTCGAGGGCAACAACTCCGTTTCGCTCCCATTGACGCTCTTTCCGCGCGAGAGGAGGCTGGAGACACGACCACCAGCACCAGACGAGCCGACCGCCACCTAGCTTTCGTTGCAGCACCAGACGAGCCGACCGCCACCTAGCCTTCGTTGAGCGTGGCCGGAAACGAGGAGAGGGAGGGAGAAGCGGCACTGCTCCTTGCGTGCGCTAAGAAGAAGAGAAGAAGAGAGAAAAAGAGAGGGGAAGATGGGTCTAGAGAGTTCTGGGCCATTCCGGTTCGATTTGAACCGTTTTGGTCCAACTCAACAATTTAGCTCGATTTTTGTTTGGTTATCTGTTTTTTTTCTTTTCTCTTGGTTTCCGAAAACTTTAAGCCGGTTTACGGTTCCTGTTTAACAAAAAATTAAATATTTATTGTATAACCCCATTTTATTTATTCTTATTAGTTCGATTTATTTCCCAATGATTTTCAAGCGGTTTGATTTATTTAATTGATTTAGTCAAATTTATATCTCTTTCTCAATTTACTCAAAAATAGTGCATATGTATCAATTTAGGATTACCTAATTAAGTGGTAAATATAATTTTTATTATTATTTTAAGTGGTCCAATATCAATTCTAAGAAATTTAAATTATTTTCGACTAGAAGTTCCGATAACTTGTTTTGGACTTGAGCCCAATTTGCAATAGGGATGGCCATATTACGGTTTCTGGAACTGGAACCGGTGGTTCGAAACTGGTCCGAACCGGAATCGAAACCAATGGGAACCAAAACCAGGATATTTTCGGTTGGATTCCGGTTCCAGTGGTTTGCGGTTCCACCAACCGGTCGGAACTGGATGGAACCGCCGATTTTCCGACCGGTTAGAACCGTCAGTTCGAACCGGTTTGAACTGGCAGTTCTAGCCATTAGAACCTTTTAAATTTCTTTTTTTTTAAATTTTGTTGCAACTTAACTACGTGGACTTTGATTCCTCTAACCCCAAAAAGATACGTAAGTAACTTAATTTTTTTTTTTTTTAAATTAAGTTCAAGTCCTTTTTTTTTTTAAAATTACGTTCAAACTTTTTTAAACAAAAACTTTTTTAAACAAAAATAAATTCAGTTGAAGACTTTTTTTAAAAAAAAACATAATTAAGTTCAAGTCCTTTAAAAAAAAAAATTTAATTGAAGCATTTTTTATTTTTTAATTTTTTAGGTGTATTTTTTTAAGAAATAACTTTCACAAATTTTTTAAATTTTGAAAACCGGTCTTCAAAATTTAAAATTTAAAATTATACGATTCGCCAAAAAATCGATCGGAACCGTTGGTTTTGAAACTGTTAAGGAACCGAAACCGAAACCGAAAATTTTCGGTTCGGTTCTGGTTCTGCCGGTTCCGACACCGGAACCGCCTATTCCGGAACCGTGGCCATGCCTAATTCGCAATTTGGGCTCAAATCAAGATTGCCCAGTACTTACAGCCCATCCCATCAAAATTTGGATTTTCAATTGATTAAAAATTCAAAAGTTTTGAAAATACAAATTCGGGTCTTTTCAGTAACTTTATACATATGCATACATTATAATTATTATGGCTTGGACAACTTGGGTAAAGATAAAAAAAATAAAAAAATAAGAGGCAAAAAAAGTTAAAAACAGGGTTTGGCTGGTTCAATCATGTTTTTCGGTTCAAACCGGTTTTATCCGGTTTTACACTTGGTGGGTTTATATGTCAAATCAGATCGGACCGACTTCCAATTCGCAGTTGAACCGGTTTGATTTTAAAAACACTTGTTATTATATACTAAGCCGCGTGAGCGGTTATTGTTGCTATAACAGTAATTTTACAATATAATCCTTTTATTTTTCTTAATTACATTTCTATATATTTAGACCTGTATCTCACTTAATATAAATGTAAAATAAAATAAGTTCCTTAATATCTATAGTATTTCATGTATTTATGTTTCAATTAAATTATGAATATAAATTATATTATTTTTAATATTATTTAAATTATAAATGGATGATGAAGTTAATTTCATTAATAATTCATTTACTTGGTATTGTTATTTTTTAAATATTTTTAAATTATAATAGGTTGATGATAAAATTGTATTGTTCAAAAAATTTATAATAAAATTATGTCAATTAAAGTAAAAACGCACATAAATGGATTTCTAACTTTATATTTTGGCAACGAATATTTCGAAAAAATAGCATTACCAAGCTGTATAAATACTGTTATGACTTCTTATATAATTCCGTGTGCATAATAATGTCAATATAATATTCATAATAGTGTCTATAAGTTGAATTGTTATGTATAAAGTTAATAAATGGACTTATCGTACGTAATGTTATGCAATACTATATTTCATTGTATTATAACATAATTTTAAAATTGCATTTATAAATGTATAATTTATGATAATTATCCGGCGCGATACTCGTATTTTCTATTTGATAACATGAGACATATTTAATCAAAATATATTCAATGATTCGTGGTAATTGAATTTTCTAGTTTTTTTCTATTTTAATATTTGAATGGAAAAATTTTATAATTAAATGTCTGAATTAATAATTTGAGTGTATCTGATCGAAATTTGTTAAAAAAGAAAGTCATAACAAACTATTTTACTCAATTATATTGATTTATTTTTTTATTATTCTTTTCCTTGTTTTGTAATTGAAAAAAAAAGAGTGTTTTTTAGAGACAAGAGATAAAATAATAAAAAATTAAAAAGAGAGATAAATTAAATGGATGTTTATGTTGTTGCAGACTTTCTTGCTAAGAGCGTTACTGCTGGGTCAATGGGTGTGGACTGGTTAGGCAATCCTCCTCCTGAGGTGAAGTTGCTTTTGGATACTGATTGTGTGGTGCGGGTTGGCCCCGTATGGTCATTTAATGGGTTTACAGCCCTCCTTTTAATTTAAAAAAAAAAAAAAAAAAATTAAAAAAAAAAAAAAAAAAAAACTAATTAGACTAAATACACTTGATTGTAACTTTTTTAACAATTTAAATATACAATTATCAAAACAGAAAAAATTAAAAATTTTCGACAACTCAATGCATTATCATCGTACACGATAAAATTAAACATGTAATAACTGTGCAGACGAAAAAAGGTTCCACCATTTTTTTATCAGCAAAAAGTATTTTTTTTATTAGAATAAAGTATGTGGGATCAAATTAGTCATTTAAGTAATTGTTTATTGTCCTAATAGTTGCAAATTATTTTATTAAAATATTTAATCAAATGTTAAAGAGAATAATGCTTGATAATACACTTCCTAAAATTTTAAACACTAGTATAAACACTATCGGAGAGTGGAGCTTAATGAAGGCTCAAGGAGACCAGAGGCGTTCCAAGAAATTTATTTTTTTTAAAAAAAAAAATTTCTTGTAAAAATTACATTTTGATCCTTAAAATATAAAAAAATTATATTTAACCTACCTACAAGTTTAAAAAAATTTTGTTTATATCCCCAAAAGATTTGTCATAACTCTGCCCCTAAACGCTAGCTATACCATCCACCATGTAAATAAATAATAGAAATAGTGTTTTGATTGGATAAAAACCTAAGTTTCAAGCTAAATGTTGTTAAACAAGGCCTAAAAGAGTTATATATTTAACCAACAACAAAGAAGATTGGATCAAGGAAAGTAGTTGAATCTTATAAAATTGATTAGGAATAAAATATATATTTGGTTTTTAAACTTTACCAGTTTTTAATTTTAGTGTCTAATTCTTTTTTATTAAGAATTTGTGGATCAAAAAAAAATATTTAAAACTCTTTTTGTAATATCAAAGTTATTACTTCATTTTTTGATCACCTTATTATGCTGATAATCCATGCTTCCCAAATCTGATTTTGTAATGAAGTTGGTCCTAAATAATTAGTTTTGTTGCATATGGTTTAGTAAGTAGACATAATAAATTTTTTTCTTGGTATTTTTGACCTTTACTTACTGCAAAGTGTTTACTGCAAAGTGTTTTTACTACAACAATATATATATAGATATATATATATTTATGACAGTTAAATTCTTAGAAAAACAGTTAACTTAGTTCATTTATAGAAAAATTCTTAGAAAAACAGTTAACTTAGTTCATTTATAGAAAAGTAATCAACTTAGTTCTTTATAGAAAAGAAAAAACAGTTAAAAATATATTTAATATTTTCTTGTACTTCAGATAAAGCATCAATTTAATATGTATTGTAAGACGAACGATACGAGGTCTGTTGGATTAAGGTAAATTCTAGAAAATGTTAAATTTTTCCTGGTTCTTTAATTTTAATAAAAAATTTTATTGTTGATAAAATAAAAAATTAAACATGCATTGCAAGATCAATTTCTACATAATTATTGTCTTTTTATTCAAATTGAAAAGTACATGATGAAGGCATACATATGGCCTTACTAATTTATTTGATTTACTGGTAACACATCACTTAGAAGGTAGAAGCCAACCCATGGCACCCTTTATTTTATATTCTATATATAAAAAGAGAGAGAGATGTTGGTTTCCAATTACGGAGCATCTGGAATGTAAAATTCTGCCTTATAGGTTCCATCGTCTTGTAAAACCATACCGTTATTCTCCTCAACCCACCAATTAGGTGGTATATTGTAATTATGTTTTTCATTCAGACCATCTACAGTTTTGTTTATCAATGCAGTATCAAGAGGATAGTATCCAAGCGTTTGTTTATCAATGCAGTATCAAGAGGATAGTCTAAATTAAAACCTCCTTTACTGCCCTGTGTTCCTGCAACTCCATGCAAGTAGACGTTCAAATCATGTGGATTAACATCACTAGTCTTTAAGAAGGGTGAGAGTGTAGTGTCAATTGGTAAGCTTTCTCCCACATGATAATAACGATGCTGAGGTATTAGTATATCATTTGGTGGAAGTTTAGGAACTGGGTCGTTAGCATTTTCTACCCTTAACACATGAATATCAGAAAGCTCATCAAATACCTTCTTGAATCCTTCGTTTCCTACCATAGGACTAGCGAATACAATCGCTGTCACCGGAAAACTTTTGTTTGCAGTTCCTGTTGGCTTGTTAATGCCTTTATAAACTATATCCATTGCGTTTAAGGTCGCAAGTGCCGATCCCAAGCTGTGGCCAGTTACTGTTATACTCACTTCCTCATCTTTGTATTGATCAACCAATTTGCTCACTGCGTTTAGAACCTGCATGCATATATTTGAATATAGGATAAGTCTTGCTTACATTATGCCTTCAGTCAAACTTTCTGATCGATCTTAAACCTCTAAATAAAGTAAGTATTAATATCGTATAGAGCATATAAGAGACGTCAAGATCAGAATAGTAGAAAGATACCTGGTCCCTTGCACTTTTCTTGTTGTAAATGGAGTTGTCGTTTTCTGTTGTATAGATTCGGTGAAAGCCAAAGTGGATAAGAGGATCATTGTTATTATTTGGAAATATATCTGAAGCTGGAATTGGTATAAATTCTAAGTCATTGAGCTTTTCTCCAGGCAATATGGTTCCTCTCCAAGAAACAACAATATCTCTTCTTCCAAGCTTCTTTTTTCCATCATCTGTTGCCACTGCCACATACGCACACCAAGTGGACTCATCTTCAATGACAGTGTCGAACCATTGAACCTCTAGTCTTGAATAAATGAAGTCAGTCACAGTATAATCGAATTCATTGCGAGCTCTTACACCGACTTTAGTGAACAACTCATTTGGTGGAAAACGGCTAAACCCATGCAAATCTTCATACTTCTTGTTATTGTACGCATCGCCAATAGCTGCAGCTCTATCGCCATAGTTAAGAATGGAACAACGGAGATCAAAGTCTAAAGGATCTAACAGACCCTCCCAGTTGTTTTCACCGCTCAGCTCCCTCCACCTATCTGCTACGTTACCAATCACGCTTAAACCTAGGCCTGCCATTTCTCTCCCTCCTTTTTTTTTCTTTTTTTCTTAAAGCTCAAATGCTAGATAACTTGGTGAACATTGTTTCATCTTCATGCTTTATATAGACTGGCCAGTGCATGCATCAACCACAATTTGAATATAGCAGGAAGCAGATTTAACATATGCAAATCATGTGCGTTATGTATATTTATTTGTAGCTATTGTTATTATTAAATTTTTCTATCCTTATCCTATAAGACATGAAATATTAGTGTATTCTGGCAGCTTTTTGGACTATCTATTGGTGCTTCTGACCAAGGGCGGCCACTAAAGTTTTAAAATATGTATGTCTCAAAATTAATCTTGTTAATGAGTTTCTTTTAGTGAATTTTTCTATGATATACATAAAATAATAAATTTATTTAAAATTTATAAGAAACTAATCATCATTTAGTATTAAATTTCATATATAAATGATTTTGGACAGTATTTAAATAAATTAAGTTTCTCCTGGATAATATTATTTAATAAAAATTATTTTTTTTGTAAAAAAAATTTATATATTAATTTAGTTGCTTTCTATTATATTTGATTTTTTTCATTTAAATTAATTATATTTTTTTCTGTTTATCAATTTAATATTTCAATAAAAAATGTATTATACGATATTTACTATTTTTTCAAGAAATCAAATATTTATTCTTTAAATTATAAAGTTGTAATTGTTCTTAATTAAATTTGGAATTTTCTTAATAATAAATTTTTTTTTTTAGCATTAGAGGAGATAATTCAAATATAATTTTATTGTCAAGTCTATACCTAAACTTGCATAGAAATTATTGAACAAAAACAAACACACACGTATCTTATAGGAAAGCAAATTTTAAAAAAATAAAAAATAAAAACATGTGTTCCTCTTTATTAGATTGTAATTCTCAATTATTATTGGATATGGTTTATTTTATTTTTCAAATTTGAGACTGATTTATTTTGATATCAATAAATAGTCAACAAATATCTTTTTTAATAATTATAATATTTGAAAGTTAATTTATAAGATTAATTATTTTAACATGTTTAATTATTTTGACACTCTTTTGGATGGAGGTTCCCTTTATATGTATATAATTTATGGCTGCGAGAACATTTAACATGTAATCTGATATGCAAATTACATCTTGAATGTATAATTTGAAGTGAACTTATTGAGAAGGTTCAATTCAGATACTATGATAATCGTTAATTATAGATTTTTTTTCGTTTGCATCATTTTTTTTATGCATTGTTATTTGACAGACAATTTTAAATAAATTTCATAACATATATAAATATGGTAAAGAAAGAGAATAATGTGATTTTCTAAAATATTCTTAGTAAAATTTTATATATGCTATAATTTGAAATATAGATAATTTTTTTATTACTAATAATATTTGAAATTTGATTTATTTTCAAAAAATTAAATTAAAATTTGATGTTCTTGTTTTGTTTCTTACACTTTTTTTTAGGTGTTTCTTACATGTTTTTTTAAGTGAAATGCATAAATTTGCATCTAAATTTACAAAAAAGTTTTAATAGTATTTTAACTTTTGTTTCGACCCATTGATCATTTCAATTTATAAAATTACACATATTAAAAACTTTAGCTTATAAGGATAATGCTACTTTTGGCATTTAAATTTAAAAAAAAAATTTCTTTTGATATCTAAATGCAAAAAAAAAAAATAAAAAATAAAAAATAAAAAAAAATTATGAATTGAATGTAAGAATTTTTTTAGAAAAATCAATTAAATGTTCCATGCTAATGTGGTACAGGGAAAAGCTCATTGTACAAATGTGGAACCATAGGTTTGAGAGAAAACCCATTCTTCTCAAAGATTTGGACCTTTTTACAGTAAATTGAAGCACTATCTAATGCACAGGATATTACTGGCCAAGAAACTGAATAGTTGCAAGCAAAAGTGAGCTTCAAAACAGGTAGGAGGATGAAGTCACCCGATCAGTTGGATATCCGGTCCGATCCAATTCAAATAGAGTAGATAAAATCTGATCTATTCAGTGGTAGATTGATATTGATGCTAAAATAAAATTCGATGCAGATATGGATATGCCATAATTCGATCTAAATCCAATCTGTAAAAAGTAATTTTGCCTTTTTGTTATATTTTTTAACTTTTGATTGTAATTCTATATGTGTAATGCCTTTTTCTTCTATTCCTTCTTCATTTTTCATTTATATTTTACATTATTATCTCCAACTTTTTCACTTTCTTCGTATTTTTTTTAATCTCTACAATAAAAGAATGAGTTCAACATTTCAACCACTTCTGAATTTTTTACGATCGTTAAAGTTTTTCTAGTTGTCATAGTATACAATTTTTTCAAGTATTATTAAAAATTTTTGTGTTTTCAAGCATAAAAAATAATATGCATTTTTATTAAATTATTTTTTTTTCTTTTAAACATAATAAAAAAAGGATCATATCAAATCCAACATTTGATCTGATTTGAATTTGCCCGGAGCGCATATGGACATAAATATATAAAAATCTTCATGAATCGAATATGGATTTTATATAATCCGATCCGAATCCGATCAATGATCATCGCTAAACATAGGTGCTTAAAATACCATAAGAAGTATATGAATCAAAAATGAAGAGAAATCTATCTGCACTTAGAAAATCAACAAAAAAAAAAAAAAACATAAAATTACTTCTTAATATGATTTAACCTTTTGGGAAGCCTGATTGTTTCTCGATATGGCATTCCATATGAACGTCAGTCCAAGTATTATTACTCAAGGGGATTTTTGAAATTTCATAGTTTTGCGTGAAGCTCTTTCACAAGAGAAATGTTTAGATAGCGTAATCTACTGCGTCAACTATAAACTCATTCAATTAACTGCTTTCAATTAGATTTCTTATCTCTAACTAAACGAGAATCATGAAAAATTAATAGAAAATAAGTTTAGGAAAAAAAAAAAAGCAAACTACTTATGCAACTTTATTTGATATGACTTTGTCCCATTGAACGATTCTATAGCTGACGTAGTAAACGAGTCTAAGAAATTCTTCTTTCACAAACACCCAAACAACTTCTAATTAATCACATTTAAAGAGGTTTACTATAAAGAAAAGGAAAAGATCATCCACAGAGAATAAATGTAAGATCGATAATGCACCATGATCAGGTTCTTTGAGGTATGGCGAAAGGATAAAAGGTACAGCGAAAGAAGACAGCCCTGCGTAGATGCCGTTCAAGGATCACCGACCCTAATAGCCGTCCCCCTTAAAGAATTAAGCATTAGATACAAGTAACATATATCATAACCATAACCACTGCCTTGTAGAATATATTGCATAATGAAATTAGTCTAAAGTCTGTCATTGCTTAAGGAGATTGTTTTTTTGGATTAGACCTGAGTCTGTTTCAAAACTAGTGGTATGAAGCCAAATCCTGCAACCCAAACAGAGCCCAAGGGTTGTACAATTCATCAAGTCATACATTGATACGTATAATTACCATAACCACAAGACACCTGACCTATTATGCACTTCGTTCCGTTTTTTATCCCTCAGTAAAGAATCTGTTGATAGATCGAGTAAATATAAAGTGAAGCAATATTGTTCCAATTAAAACATCGTATTTCCCAAAATGCAAACAAACAAAATTTTCCAACAGAGATGTATTAGGAGTGTTTTAGTAATTTAACATAAAATATTTGCCAACACAACTAGTGTCTGTAAATCAGCATGGACATAATGCATAACTCGGGCTACAACATAGATCTTGTACTCATAATTAGTAGTAGCATAACTTGATTTATAAATGATTTCCAAAATAGAACAAGTAAAATGAGTCATCACGTACACACTTAGCAAAATTTGACAAAAAGAGTTCAAACTAATGTCTAATATCACGGGGAAAGAAAAAGAAAAGTCCAAATTGGAGAGGGCTCAAACATTGTAAAAAGGAAAGAGAAATATAATTGCTCATTGATCACTAGGGAGGCTCTTGATGATATCTGAATCACCTGCACAACAGAGACATTCACTCAAATGTCAGTGGATCAAATACTAACACAATGTTCAAAACACAATTGATATGATATTTTACCTGGATCAATAATGCTCAGGCAAGAAACACGGAAATACTTCCCACAAGCGGTTCCCAAGTCAACATTGTCTGGAAAAACACATTGATGAAGACATCAGCTTCAAATTTATGAACACTGAACAAAATATAAAGCTATCCACACATGTGCAAGTCTTGGGCTCAACGGCCATTTTTGAAGCTTCAATAACTAGTTAAACAAATTCGGGTTCTAAGCAACATATATTAGATGACAACATCCATCGATAAGATACAAATGCAATCATAGACAAGGACCCTTCCAATCCCCTATACCTTCAAAAAGAAAATATGATGCATTTTTGCTCGATTTGACTTTACAAACTGTATAGGGGTTCTTTGTGGATGTTTCATTCTATATTTTCTTGCTAAAAGTTCAAAAATTCAACTTAAGCTTTTGACATTAAACTTTATTTTCAAAGACCAAATACCCAATAAAGACCCCTGCAGGATATACCTAACAAATGTGTGGAAAGAAATCTGAACAAACCATATTAAGTAAATCCAACTCGTATACAATCGCAAACTTACATATACAACAACTCAAGGATAATATAACATACCATTCTGCAAAGTGACTGATATCTTTGACAAAAAACTAATGAAGCTAACTGATACAAAATCACCCTCGCACACTCCAAATTATCAGAAACAATAGAAAGTATGCAATTAAATCTAAAATGGTATGCAAATAATGTCTGAGAGGCTATCATTATCAGAAGTTAATGAGGTGAAGGGCATGCATCTTACAAGTACAACCCTCATTCTCATATGCAAACACAAACGTTATTCTCAGTCTCTGCTATCAAATAAATAGCAAAATGAAACAAAAAAAAAATGTAGACCATCAAGATTCAACAAAAGAAATAAAGTGAGCACTACTTCCATTATAATGATGTACTCCAACCTTAGAAAGCATGGCATAGTACTCAATCTCAGATTTTCTCAATGGAGGGCAATTGTTTGAAATAATTATAAGCTTGCCTACCAGAAATTAATCCCAAATATTAAAACTTACTAATATTATTTTAGAACAATAATTTTTATTTTTATTCTTTCAATCAATAAAAATAACATTATTTGACATCTTATTTAAACACAAAATAATAATATCTATATAACTTTAATTTTTTTTTTTTGGTCTAGATTGACTCAAATTAAAATTAAAAAGATAAAAGAAATTAATAAAAATTAAATTTTGATTTCATTTATATAAATTGTTCATTCTCATTTGAAAGATAAAAGGAAATTAATAAAAATTAAATTTTGGATTTCATATATAATATTGAATTGGATATCATTCTCAATTGTTTGAGAAATACATATATAGTCTTATATAGGATTCACGTTAAATGATTTTTTTTTACTTATTGCGTACATTCATATTAAAAAGAAGTATTAATAGAGATATCTACTAAATGGGATAGAATAAAAATTAATTGTTGTTACATCAATAATAAATGAAGGCTCTGAAAATTAGTCAAATGAATAGTTATTAAAATATATCATGCAGATACTCTATTTTTATATGCTTTTCTATATATTGTGAGAGGACGTGTATATCACTTAAATATGCCCTGTAAATATAAAATAAGTCCATGTAAAATAAAATAAGTTCCTTAATATCTATAGTATTTCATGCATTTATTTTTCAATTAAATTATGAATATAAATTATTTTTAATAATTATTTAAATTTTAAATCCGATGAAATTAATTTCGTTAATAATTCATTTACTTGGTATTTTTAATAAAAATTTGAAAAAAATAAAGTTTAGATATTTTTTTAAGAAAATGGATTTATCCAACTTGATCCATATCCCACCTTGCACCGACCCTTAGCGAAGCAGATGATGGAGCAGTAATATATAGTGGGGAGAGTAACGTAATATCTGATCCATACCCGACCTACCGTCATACCCATTATATATATATATAACCCATTATATATCATATATATAATTATATTATATATGGAAAATCACTGGCTTGATGTAACCTTGTTTTGTTTCTACGTCTTTTTAGGGTGGAATGAATTTGCAATATAAACATTATATGTTCTATCTTGCACATGTTCAATAGTTATATATATATATATATATATATATATGAAAATCATGTGGCTGATGTACTTGTTTTGTTTCTTACGTCTTTTTAGGTGGAATGAATTTGCATATAAACATAAATGTCATTTTGCACATGTCAAATGCTTTTGGACCAAATGAAAAGGTTTGGTCGTTAGTTATCTTGAATTAAAATAAATTAACACATGGAAAAAGCATTTACGAAGGATAGTCACGAACCACGAAAAAAGAATAATTTTATGAATTTTTTTATTTATATTTGATAAATGATTTCATATATCAAGTTAATTAAAAAAAATTGAAATGTTATCATTTTGTCTTTTTTTGCAATGTAGTAAAAATATTATTTATTATATATCTAGTATATAAGTAGGCTTATATACCGGATATGGATAAATATTTCCTTAGGTTTTTATTCAAAGAATACAACACTACCGGTGGTATAAAAAAAAGAAAAGAGTTAATAGTGGTTTAAAAGAAAAAAAGAAAAAATCATGTAATACCTCTCTCTCTCTCCCACATATATGTATGTATTATACACATAACATATGAAAATCATGTTATTGATGTTCTTTTGTTTTGTTTTTTACATTTTTTTTTAGGTGAAATGCATAGATTTTGCATCTAAATTTAGAAAAAAGTTTTAATAGTATTTTTAACTTTTATTTTGACTCGTTCAACATTTTAATTTATAAAATTACACATATTAAACACATTAGCTTATAAGGATAATAACATTTTTGACATTTAAATTTAAAAAAATTTCTTTTGATGTCTGAATAGGAAAAAAAAAAAAAAAAGATGAATTGAATGTATGAAATTTTTTAGAAAAATCAATTAAATGTTCCATGTTAATGTGGTACATGGAAAAGCTCATTGTGCAAATATGGAACAATAGGTTTGAGAGAAAACCCATTCTTCTCAAAGATTTGGACCTTTTTACAGCAAATTGAAGCACTATCTAATGCACAGGATATTACTGGCCAAGAAATTGAATAGTTGCAAGCAGAAGTGAGCTTCAAAACAAGTAGGAGGATCAGTTGGATATCCGGTCTGATCTAATTCAAATGGAGTAGATAAAATCTGATCTATTCAGTGGTAGGTTGATATTGATGCTAAAATAAAATTCAATTCGGATATGGATATGCCATAATTCGATCTAAATAAAAAGTAATTTTGTTTTTTTTGTTATATTTTTAAACATTTGATTGTAATTCTATATGTGCAATGCCTTTTTCTTCTATTCCTTCTTTATTTTTCATTTATATTTTACATTATTATCTCTAATTTTTTTCACTTTCTCGGTATTTTTTTTACTCTCTACATCAAATAAAAGAATGAGTTCAACATTTGAACCACTTCTGAATTTTTTATAATTGTTAAAGTTTTTCTAGTTTTCATAATATCTAATTTCTACATTATTGTTAAGAATTTTTGTGTTTTCAAGCATAAAAAATAACATGCATTTTTATTAAATTATTATTTTATTTTGTTTTTTTAAACATAATTAAAAAAAAAAGGATCATTTTGTTTTATTTCATTTTATTTTAAAAAAAAAGGGATCAGTCGGAAAAGTGATTTTAGTCCAGAATTTTACAACTTATTGTTAAGAATTTTTGTGTTTTCAAGCATAAAAAATAACATGCATTTTTATTAAATTATTATTTTATTTTGTTTTTTTAAACATAATTAAAAAAAAAAGGATCATTTTGTTTTATTTCATTTTATTTTAAAAAAAAAGGGATCAGTCGGAAAAGTGATTTTAGTCCAGAATTTTACAACATATAAACCAAAACACTCGGAATCTCATGGGGACTCCGGATCCGTGATCAATTTGGATTGGGTGAGCCTTGTTTCGTCGGAAATGACCCTGATAGTGGCTTCGCCACCGTCGCTCATGGCGTTTTCGTCAGGCAAGCTTTGTCGCCGAAACTGATGGGAGAAACAGACTTGCTGGGAAGAGAGGAGTCGATCGAAGTATGTCCCTCGCCTTGAAGCTGCCGGAAACGACGTGGATCGTCGGAATTTGGTGAGCACAAGCTGTCGAGGAGAACAGCTCCGTTTCGCTCCCATTGAAGCTCTTTCCGCATGAGAGGAGGCTGGAGACACGACCACCAGCACCAGACGAGCCGACCGCCACCTAGCCTTCGTTGAGCGTGGCCGGAAACCAGCACCAGACGAGCCGACCGCCACCTAGCCTTCGTTGAGCGTGGCCGGAAACGAGGAGAGGGAGGGAGAAGCGGCACTGCTCCTTGCGTGCGCTAAGAAGAAGAGAAGAAGAGAGAAAAAGAGAGGGGAAGATGGGTCTAGAGAGTTCTGGGCCATTCCGGTTCGATTTGAACCGTTTTGGTCCAACTCAAC